CAGAATAACAAATCACTTCAGCAGTGCAGTAAAAACGACACTTTAAAACCCTCTTGTTACACTCAATTTGCGCTTTTGTTTTCATATTTTGTAATCTGGCAATCTTTCTGTGAAAACATTTTTAAATCATTCTTGAAAAATATACCGTCCATGTAAGTTGATCTGATTTTGCTACTCGCTTTATAATACATTTTTACTGTTTTTTCTTTTTATTTTATTTTATTTTATTTTCTGTTTTTACATGTTATTTTTACTTTTTGTGTTCTATTTTATTTGTTGTAATTTTTATAAAAAAATTTTTTTTTGAGTGCTCCTCACACTATTGTACTAATATATTTTGCTTTGGCTTTATTGATACAGTATCAGAAAGCACTCTGTTTTACGGATATAATCGTGTGGGCTGATGAAAAGATTATATCTTTTTTTCGGCTTTTTTTTCTAGTTTTTTAAATAAAATTTTATCCCTTTTTTTTCTTTTTTTTTAAAGCTGTCTGTTATTTTTTTACTTATTACTTATTATTTCCCCCTTTTTTCATATGTCTTTAATTCCTCTTTGTTTTATTCTTCATTTTGAACTTATATATGAAAGGTTGCATGTGAATGATTAGATGTTAATAACGTTGTATCCATTATTAAATACTCTATTCAAAGTATGGAGTCCTTTATTTATAAGAACCTATCTTAATAAATAATCCGCTTCAAATTTTTGAAAATAATTCTTCAAAATATCAGACTTTTAAGCTCTTTCATAGAAGAGGGGGAAAAAACGTTTAATTAATGAGTTCCTGAGTTAAGCTCTGTCCTTATAAAGTTGATGTAGTACCTGTTTCATTGCTTCATTTTATTTTTTCCTCTAAGCTAAAAGAAACTTTAAAAGCGTGTCCGCAAATTGCTGCATGTGCTTAACTAGTTCACAATGTCATTATCGACTGGCCTGCGTTTTGTTACACAGTTTGGAAAAGAGCTTTCTCTTTTGTGTCTTTACAATTCCGCCATCGTTAAAAGTTCGATCATTAATTAAAACAAATAAAGTCTCTGGACTCAATAAAGAAGGGGGTGGGTGGACTCTTGGCAGTTTTAAAGTGAAATTTCGTGTTGCTTATCAATCTTGAGAAATCGATTCCATTCTCCCCTTGGAATGGTATTTCTGGATTTTAGAATGTCAACCTATTCTTCACGAGAGAGGTGCCAACTGTTTTTCATTTTCATCGCCATGGCATTAAAATAGTACAAAACAGGGTTAACAAGTTTTCGACGCGTATCAATTTTTTTGGTTTATAAAAGGAGGTAAAGCCCTTAGAAAACCTGGTGTCAAAAGCTGAAAATTAATGTACTGGTTCAAATATTATTATCTGTCCCGCAGTTGACTTATCGTTTAGACACGGTTCCCAGAAGATCATCGAAGTCAAGCATCACTGTCTGTGGTCTTAATGCGGGATGACAACCACTTTGATCAGAGTGCGCAGGGACAGAGGATGTGCAGTATTGGTCCTCGTTAAACTGTTCTATCGTATTGTGTTCGTTAACTGTTAAACTGTTTTTTATACGCAAGGACCTTAACTCAACTCGAGGAACTGCTTTACATTATATCAATGGATCATTATATCTCTTCCCCTGTGTATATTATTTGAGCGGTCTGCCGAAGCGGGGAGCCATCCCCTCCCGCAGAGGATCAAAATTGTGATGGCATGTCTTCGAGTCGCCAATAGCCCATTGTGCAACACTTGTACGTAAATAAACTACATCTATTATTATTCATCTTGGTTGGTGTCGTATCCTCTATTGAATCATATTTTATGGTGTGATTGAATAGTTTTTGTTATTTCTATGGCATTAAATGAATACAAATCCTCTTCTGTGGGGTAGTTTCAGAGGTGAAGGCCTGCAGCGACTGCAGGGCAGTTAAAAACATGATATGGTGTCAGTTCCACATTAAGACATTAAGACAGTTGCCACAGTTTCATATCTTAAATAGCACATTGCATGTGACTTTTAATGTTAAATTACTCCTTTTGTTACGCCAATGAACTTACGTTAAAAAGAGAATTAAGTTTTCATTAGTTTAAATTTTTGTGTAAAACAATGTTTATCACTACTATTTTAACTGTTATGAATTGCTAGAATTTCGAGATTGGCAGCTCTACCTTTTTTTAATTTTTTTTTTGTTTTGTAGTTTATGGTTTACAAAAGTTTGTTGTTATTTGACTTCATAGTCAAAACGTAAAGATTTGTCACACTTCTTGTTCATGATCGATGGAGGCCGCCTTCTGCACTTGGCTAGAAATTAAGATTTCCTTTTTTAAACAGGAACTTGCAGAATTCGCCAAGTAATAGAATCGGTTGTATGTCTTTTCTCTACGAAGATAGATGAAAATGTTTAAAGGGACCATTCTCACTGTATGCGGAAAATTCGTGTCTGCGAATGAGAACCTGATTGTTGCAATTCCCGCATAAAACTCGCCAACCAGGTTCTCGTCCGCATCTTTCAATTCGCATGCAATGAGAATGACCCTTAAATTGTAGAGGCTCTGTCCGTCAACTAATTTACAATCCAGCGGACTTAAACGACTTGCTTTCTTTTTTGGACATTTTCTTCTTGGCTGCAGTAGGTGCCAATTATTAGACAAGATTTTATTAGTTTTAAAATTTGTTTCCTGAAGAAAAAAAATCAAGAATTTTTATTTAAAAAAAAAAGCCGAACAGTAGAGCGGGTCGTTAAAAGTCGCTGAATTGGAAAATCGCTGCTCGTCAAGCCTCTATTATACTGGAACCAGTTTCTCATGGTGTATTAGAAAATTCTCCGGTTTATGTATATTTTTCAAAACTCCGTAAAACGGAAAATGTTTTTGTAAATGTTCTAATAGAAATTTACTTTCCAAATATCATTTTTTTTTTCTAATTGAGAACTTAGTTTTCAGATCTGTTTTTAAATATTTATATTTTTGTGATCATGAGAATTTTTTAACTGATATGGAATTCAAAAATAAGCTACAACTTTCTTTCAGTGTGAGTTGGTTTTTTTTTTAATTGTGCTTCCCTTTGGTGATTATATAATAAAAAAAAATTCTCGAAGCATTCCTATCAGAAAAATATTTTATTTATTGCGCAATAGTAACGTAATTTCAATGATTTTCGATTTTCCAGGTCTGCGCAACAAAATAAAATAGGTTCATAAATTTTTTACATCGAATAAAGCTGCATTTTTGAAAACTGTGTGTGTTTTTTTCTTTTTTTGTAATAGAAATATCTTATTGTTTAAACCAGGGGACAAACCAACAGTTGTTTTTTTCCCTAAAAAAAAGAAGAAGAAAAATACCATTTTGTTTCGGTAAAGATTATTGCTATAAGCGAAAAAAGTTTCGTCGTTGTCCGGTTGTACGATTTCCTTTATTTTTGCCATTAATCTTGTTACGTAACAGCAAACCTTTTGTTTGTTTTTTCAAATACACATAACTCGTTGAGAAAGAACAATGTATTTTTTTTCTTTCTGTTTACAATGACCCTCCCAAAAAGCGCGCACCAGATTTGTGATTTATTAATCCTCTTTTAAGATAAGAGGGGCATTTTTATGTTTTCTTACCCTTGTAAGAGACAATCAATCTTATTTTCTTTTACGAATGAGTTTAGAATTTTCTTTGAGAAAGTGGAGGCATTAGTTTATTCTTTTTTTGTTGTTGTTTTGTTCACCATGCCCTGCTAAGTTTTTATGGTTTTTCTTTTGAACTTTTGTTTTGATAAAGGTGGCAACGGTATAGGACGCGAAATGATCGATTTCTTTCTATCTTCTCGTAGAAAAAAAAACTGCTTTTTTTATTATTATTGTTTTCCTTTCGATGATGGCAGAATCGATTTGGAGAGAATTTCCTAGGCAAATAGTTCGCCATCTAATTAAGAGTTCGAATTCTGTCTTGAGGAAGCAGAGAAGGTGAGGAAATTCAATTTTAAGATAGTTACTGGCGTTTAATATTTCTTTGGCGAGCAGAATTATAATCGATTTCTGGGCAAATCATAAATCAAAATTTTCACCCTCGCCAACTTACTGATTGTTTGGAATTCTATCTTTATGGATATTTTCTTAGTGAATTACTCACAAATAAGCCATGGGTTGGAATCAATCGATACCTATTTGATGCTTTTACTGTGTGTATACTTTTATTTTTATCTGAGGTTTAATGATATTTTAATCCTATAATAAAAGTTATTATTTGGATTTAATTTCATGAACCTTAAACGTCTAGTAGTTCATATAGTATAAAGTAATTATTTGCTGTTTCTTTGCAGATTGCAGGCATCTGCAGACTTTCAAAGACTTAACCAAATCTCTTGAAAAAATATCGTAATGTTATTTATAATAAAAATTTTATGTTTCTTTTTATAATAATGAACATGCTTGAATACATGCTTGAAATAATGCTTTGCTTGTTAGCTAATGCTTTTATTGAAATTTTATTTTATTTTATTTTCAGGATCAAACCCAAATATTAAATTATTGGCATGATACTTTATCTTCATCAGGTAAGTTTATTTAAATTCATACAAAATTCTTATTTGGAAAATAAGTCTGTTATGAATCAGTGATATTGTATTCTAATTCTGTATGGTTTCTGTGATTAACACTTTCTCGGCTGATCGAGAATATGTACCAGTTTTGTAAACAATCAGTACACGACCGACTAGGGAGATTTCCCCGTTTTGCAATACAATAGTTAGTTGTAGCTGTTAAAAATGCTAATTGCTAAGAGAAAAAGTCTATTTGAGCGAGTCTATGTGCAGAATCTTTTTCCAAGATAAGTAGGCGAGTGCATACACCAAATAATATGTATACAGACTTATATATTCTTTGCAAACACTGCCCTGAAATTTTTCTAAATTCTTTTTTTAAGCTTTTTCAAATCGGTGTAAAAATGTATGCTATCAGTCATTTTGCTGTACTCAATACTAATTGAAAAAATCTTCATATTTTCTATCCAGCGTGACATTTTTGAAATTTATTGCAGTGAGAACACTTTAGGCCAAGGCGCAAAATGTCCACTTACCAGCTCGCTATTGGCAACCGAAAATTTAAGTTTTGTCTTAAAATTTTATGTTTCGAATATAACTACCATTCATATTTTTCCCAGAGTCAGTGTTTTTGTGCAAAATCTGGGTAAAGCATCTGGACATAACTTCGGCTCATTTACGAGACTGCAGCACTCAGAATTCTCTAGAATGATTTATTCAGAATTTCTATAATTGGACCCCCCCCCAATATATTTTGAATTATAGAAACGGAATTTTAGTGCGGAAAACAGCGGTATACAAACATGAAGTATTATAAAGTATGAGAAAGTTTCTGATGTTTTCTTACTTTAATGATATGTGGATGATTGAAACCTTATGGCAACTTTACTTTAAATAAATATCATCTTTATTTATTTTTTGCAATAAATATATTTAAATTTTTATACATATTTTTGTTGTTTTGGTAAACGAAAATTCTCTCATACTACATCTGTTAAAATCTTAGCCCGGCTTACCTTTAGAGCTGAAATTTCATGCCCTACTTTAGACTAATGATAAAATATATCGTGTTTTGTTCAATATGCAATTTTTAACTAGGCTAGAATGCCATGGCTAGTTGTATAGCCTTATTAAAGGTTTATTGCGATTAACCCAAGCAAATTCAGTCAAATGAATCTTCGCATGCGTCCCCATTAACTTTTAAAGCATATGTGCTGATTGTAATTAGCCTAAAAACATTTGGCTGATGCTGCAAGTTTTTGGCAGATTTGATGTAGAAGAAATTTGTTTTCGTCATTTCTTGCTGAACTTGTTCTTATCCATGGGGCAACCTGCGTAATGGGGGCCATTACAGTTTTTAATTCCTAAGAAATTTGAAATTTAATTGCATCATTTTTCGATCATTTTTTTCTAGAAATTCAACACAAAGACGGGAAAATAAGATTCATTATAGTTTTGCACTCAAGATCGCATTGTGAGACTGCGTGAAACACCAAAATTTCAGTTTGGGTTGTTTCTTTGACCTTTTATCGTAAATATTTTTTTCTCATTGTGACTGTTACTGCGATGTTATTTTGCTCACCGATATTGGTTTTTAGGACCTGATTGCAATGCAAAACCGGATGTATTATTTCCTTCGGATATTCAATTTACACTGGAAAAAGACTCTAAGAAAGCGCTTTTGTGGTGAAAAAGATGGCATAAGAAGCCATTATTAGTATACACAACGCCAATGGGGCGGAGCCTGTTAACTGTTTTCTTTTTGAATGTTTGCCTCATAACGGTCCTCATTACTAAGGTGATTTCCGAAGCACAGAAAGAGGTTGCACAGTTTCTATTACATAATGAATTTTGCTTTGTATATTTATGAGGAAGGAAAAACCTTCTCACGCTTCAGAACCGGTTTTTATTTATACTCAGAGCAAAGAAGAGGCTTTTATGAGGAAAATATTTATGCTTTGGTTGTAAGCTAAGGTAGCAGTTTACTTAGCGACGTCAAGAAATGAAAACTTGATTAGTTGTCCATTAATATTAGTCATATATTTTGTAACGCGTATGGAATATCTGGTAATTGTTCTTTTCTAATATATTTATTAAACTATTTATAGTCTGTTTCATTTTTGTGGATTATTTAAAATGTGTTATTGTTAAGGTTTCTCTTCGTGTTACCCAGAGTACTGTAGGAAGTTGATTCCCGGAATGTATAAAAAATGAGCTTCTTAAATCGCCTAAATTATGTTATCTCGTTTGACCGTTGGGTGGCGCTGCTAAGCACATTCTGATTAAAATAAAAAATTATCGTTGTGACTGCTATTAATATTTCATGCATTTTAGAGTTCAGGGTTGTAAAAAACATTAAAAATGGGTCACATAGTATAATCAATTTAATACACATTACACGGAGCTATTGATGCAATGCATGAAAATTTACATGTTAAGTGCTGCACTGTAGAGAAGATTCAAAAACTTAATTTGTTCAAAATCCCCTGCCAAGAGATTGAATCTTATCTTTGAGCTTTTTGTAAATTATTGATCAAATCTTTGATGACGCTTCATCCTATATTCATTCCCTTTGTCGAACCGAAATGATCATTCTCTGCATGAAACAAAGAAGCAATCAATATCTTCGTCTGATAAATCACAGTTGGGCGAAACAAACTGTTCCATCGCATTTAATCTTAAAAATCGGGGTTTCAGATGTCAAACAATTTTCGTGAATCATTTAATTTGTCTTTCCGCGATCGAAAACTGTCTTTCATACCTTTTATGTTCTTTAGGGATTGGAATTTCACAAAAAGGATTAAAAGTTATGATGCCATCAAAGCGAGATAAAAGTTTGATTTCAAAAGAGACGAGTAGGATCTAGTTCCGCCCCATCGAGCTTCAAAAGATAAGCCTTTTCAAACTTAATAATGCATCGTTTTCTCGACTTTTACGAAACCGCACAAGAAGTAATTCCACTAATGAATATTTGTTCCCTCGTTTTGTTCTTTTAGCCTGTTCTAAAGACGCCTGAATTTTCTCCACTTACGCCTTTTCCATCAACTAATTAGTGCCTTTTTTGTGATGGCGGATTAGATGTCTTGCAGATGATGGGTTCTTTTTTGCTTTGTGGGAGTGGATCGTGTCTCTTAACAATAATTTCCTTATTTGGTTTCGATTTATCATTTTTTTTGTCCTTTACTCTTTTTGACTTAGCTCCACTCAAGGTCGAATTTCTTTAACTGCCTAATTTAGATGATTAGCCTTCCCTTTAAGGCTTTTGTATTTCCAATAAATTTATTTCATTTATTTATTGAATATATTTTAATCTTTTTCTTTAGATATTCATCACATATCAAGGAAACGTTAATTCTTTTCTAGTATTTTTAAGGCTTCCTTACGATAATATTCTTTTGGCAGGGAGGGCAAGTTTTTTCCAACTCAAGTGGAAAAAGCTCTTTGTTTTTCAAAAAAGAAATATCTTTAAGACAATTTTTTATACAGTTTATAATTTAGTTTAAATAATAATGGGTTTAATAATTTAATGTAAATAATAATACTAGGTTAAATAACTATTATTAGGTTAAAAAATTTAGTTTAAATAATAATATTTTAGTTTAAATAATAAATAGTATTAATTTCCGAACCATTTAATGTATGATTTTTAAATAAGGAAAACTAAAAAGCAATAATTGGAAAGGTAACTAAATTTAGTGAATTTCTTAAGAAATTAAAATATCATTAATTCTTCAATATTTTACATAAATTAATATTGTAAAATATATTTTTTTAATGACTTAATAGTCAAATATATAATTATATAGTCTGCTTATTTAAACTATCATAAAATCTGCAGTACTATAAATCACATACAGAATTTGCAATTACAAATAGCAAACTAATTTCTATAAACGCTAAACATGAGTACTCAAAATGCTATATAGATATTCTTAAAAATTCAAATTATGTATGAAACNTTTTTTTTTTTTTTTTTTTTTTTTTTTTTTTTTTTTTTTTTTTTTAGAAAAAAACTGATGTGAGAAACTTTTTCTACTTTCTGGTACTATAATAAATTTAACTTGTTTTAATTTATACTATCCTTATACTTCTTGCTAAACAATTGCTTTGGTGATTTTTAGTTTCTTCAAGTTTCTTTTGGTTTTTCAGTTTTTACAAAAGTTCTGGAAAAAAAAAAAAAAAAAAAAAAANTCAAAATGCTATATAGATATTCTTAAAAATTCAAATTATGTATGAAACTAAAAATAATTTTATTGAAATAGTCTTTTTTTTTTAATTTTTTTTTTAGGAAAAAGTTGATGTGAGAAACTTTTTCAACTTTCTGGTACTATAATAAATTTAACTTGTTTTAATTTATACTATCCTTATACTTCTTGCTAATCAATTGCTTTGGTGATTTTTAGTTTCTTTTGATTTTTCAGTTTTTACAAAAGTTCTGAAAAAAAAAAAGATTTCCGGACAAGATGCCATTGCAGGCTATCGGAATATTATTTGGAAAATAGCTGTTCCCAATTTTAGATTAAGAATCGGACACGACTGCTTGACTAAAAATGTTGCTTAAATAAGGATAGTTAACTCTCCATTATATAATTTTCTACTAGCTGCTTTTGGCGACCACCTTGGTCACGTTTCATAACTATCTGGCGCAACATATAAACGTTTATGGTAACCAAGTCGAATGCACAGCAGTACAGTATTTAAATATTGTAATTCTTCAACCCTTCTTCCAATCCTTACATCATAATTAGTTTTGAAAAATATAATAACCAAATATTTTTACAGTCTTGCTGTTGCGCAAGCGGAAGTACTTGTTATAAGCGATGAAGTAGATCATTTATTTTTCTGGAATTTAAAAACGATAATAAATTGCAAAACGATGGATGATCTAATTGCGCCACCGATGTTTTTCAGTTTTTGGTTTGTTCTTGAGTATGATATTTATTATTTGGTAGAACTGTTTATGTTTAAGATTATTAAAAAGTTAAGTTTTTAACGTTAGTATTGGTAGTTTTTTC